AGAACTTCTGCGGCGCTTTGAACGAGAAGGTGATGACTTCCTTGCAAGAATCGTTACTGGGGACGAAACCTGGGTTCACTTCCACCAACCGGAAACGAAGAGAGCGAACAAGGAATGGCGCTATTCCTCATCTCCAAAACCGAAAAAGTTTCGAACACAACCTTCAGCAGGGAAGGTTATGCTGACTCTCTTTTGGGACGAAAAAGGCGTCATCTTGAGCATTACACGCCTAGAGGGACCACTGTCACCAGTGCATCATACTCAGATCTCCTAAAAAATCATCTTCGGTCTGCAATCAAAGCAAAGTGACGTGGATTGCTGTCCACAGCATGACAATGCAAGGCCCCATACTGCCCGTACAACAGTTGCGACAATCAATGACCTGCATTTTGAGTGTTTTCCTCATCCGGCATACTCACTAGACCTTGCCCCAAGTGATTTCCATATGTTTGGACCACTCAAAGAAGCAATGGGAGCAAAGACGTTCCGTTTTGATGAAGAGGTACGCCACGCGGTGCATGAGTGGTTGCGCGGACTACCAAAAGAAATTTTTCTAAAGGAATTCATGCGCTAGAGGACTTGCATTGAGCGTGGGGGATATTATCTTGAAAAGTGATACAGCTTTGTACCCCTTGTGCACAATAAATAATACTCAAAATAATATTTAAGGTTTTCACTTGACTCGCCTACGTAGCTGCAGCCACCTGCTCACACTAGTTCCTCGCTCGCGGATTTTTCTACCCTGAAGACGGAGGCGATACGTTCCTCCGAAACGTCGGTTCACACAAGGTCTACACGGCGCCACATCCCAGAAGACGGTATTCTTTATGTTCTTTAGTGTTTTCGTCCTGTTATGTATTACTATATCGTATTATACAACCGTCAACACAACGAATTCGTAATAAATAAACTAATATTAATATTAGTTTATTATATACATTTGCTACATGTTTCGATCTAGCTGGATCATCATGAGGCAATATTCAAGAATTATGTTACTAATGTGGATCCATATTAATGGCGTAAATATAAATTTCATTACGATTCTTGTGTTTCATTACATTTTAATATTAGTCTTAAAATGTAAAACGTTATAACTCAGAAGTTAAAAAGTTAAAAGCTAAAATTGAATTAATTTTTGTACGGTTTGTGATATTATGTAGTGGAGCAGAGGGGTTTTATGGGGAGTGTGCGTTCTTATTTAATTATTATCTGCATCTGAAAATAGATTATAGATATTCTAATATGTTATATAATATATATGTTATATAATTTTTGAGTGATGTATAGTCATATGATGTGTAAATGCTTTTTGCATTAACTACTGCATAAGCCATAGTGGGTATGTTTCATAGGTCATGCGATGTTCAAGGGCGGTGGTGTAGGTATATATGGGGCGTGTTTTATTTATTATTGTGATGTGTATGTTTTTATTATTAGGCCGAATATGGGATTATGTTTATCTGCAAAGGTATCATTCATTTGTAACCTTTGTTTACTTAAATTATATTTATTGAGTCATTCAAGTGTAGTTAGTGACAGGCCTTTTTTTTTTTCATTGTGTAGTATTACTGGTGTGGTCATTTGTGCTGTATGTGCTGTGTCAAGTATATGTTGAGCATATTTTGAGTTTTGTTTGTTTCTATAGCTCGGATATGTTCTTTATATCCGCTTTTAAATGTACGACCTGTTTGTCCTACGTATTTGAGTAGACATTCATTGAATTTTAATTGGCATTCCCTCACAGTTGTCTTCCATAAGCGTCCGTGAATATGAGATGTTTACCATTTCAGTGCAGTGTCCCTGGGATGTCCATCCGGGCCCGTAATTGTCCAGTATTTGATCTCTACTAAAGGGGCGGCGAATTAAAGTCCGCGGGTAAGGGTGCATCCGGTTGGACCCAGCTTGTACTCCGGCTCCTAAGCTGGTGTGTGAACTTCGCCAAAAGTGTAAAATTTGAGGTTTTCACGTCGATGTCTATGAAGAATGCCGTCTTGTGGGATGTGGCGCCGTGTAAATATTGTGTTTACCGACATTTCGGAGGAACGTATCGCCTCCGTTTTCAGGGTATAAGAAATCCACGAGCGATGAACCAGCGTGAGCAGGCGGCTTCGTCAAAAATATTTACTTATTCATTTATTTTAATACGAAGTCCACACGCTAAATTATTGCAAAGATGGCTAAGTCGATAAAAATAGCACGAATGCAACAGGAGCGTAGGAATGAAATGTTCCTGAAGATGCACGAGTGGCGCCTTTTTCGATATAGCAGTTTCCGTATCAGTGATGACAGATGTATCTGGTTCCTGCATTCATGCGCAGTGTAAATCAATCGTCGACTGCCAGAAGTCGGCAACAACACTTAACAGAGCTAGGAAGGAGACAGGGTATAATATACCCATAGAGTGACTCCTTTGTTTGGTGAGAGAGAGAGGTGCCGGTAGTCGGTAGCCTCGTAGCCCT